GACTAAAATCGGCTTATCAGATTGTACCGAAGAGCGCACACACACACACACACACACACACACATATATATATATATATATATATATATATATATATATATATATATATATATATACACTACAGTTCAAAAGTTGGAGACTACCCATGGTAGTTTTTTTTTTCTTTTTTTAAATTAGCCCAAATAATTGCTGGTTTAGATTTTGGATAAGTGAAAATTATTCAAATTATAGTTAAAAAAAAAAAAAGCTTAGAAATGATCTTTTATTTCAGATTTTAAAATGAGAAAAAAAATTATTGCTCTTGTCAAAATATCCCCCTTTAGCCTAGCTTACTTCAACACAAGTTTTGGCAAAAGTTTCTCAAAGTATGATTCCATTTTTTATTCAATAACTGATAGCTCTTTTTCATATTTTGGATAAAAATGTTTAACTTTTCCGTCATGTTCAGCTTCTGCTAATTATGAGGTTGGGATCAAGTAACTGAACAGTATTAACGGCTTAGTGGTAGAATCCCTGACTGACGCCAATTCAGTCGGGTTTCCATCTTAGCTAGAAGCAACCGGACGATGAGCTGGGATGCAGCGAATTAGTCTTTCTGCGGATGACTATATATATATATATATATATATATACGCATTTTCATATATAAGTGTAATGCTACGCTCAAGACCATTACATATTCAGTCACCAATTTTTTTTTATACCTGCTACACGTCCATTATAACACGCACACGCTAACAAACAAAAACCCAGAGATACAGACGCAAACACACAGAGACATGCACACACCTGATGTCATAGTTTTGCGAACGAAGATTTAGGGGATTTTTTTCTATCTGCTGCAGGTTCTCAGTTAGTTTGTGAGGCCAACGAAGCAAAGGCAGGTTTGTCAGTAACAAATGCAGGACAAGGTCTCCTGATATAAGGAGCTACCTTTTATTATTCTCACTTTTCCTGAGCGTTAGCTTTGCAAGGGAGGTTGCATAAAAAATACATCGTTCCTTTTTTTTTGCTCTATTGAATTCCTTTGTTTTCCATTGAGAATAAGAGACATTTTCAGGGAATTCTTAGATTTTAGTGGGAGAACCGAAGAGTTAGTGACATATTTGCATTTTCTATATTTTTAGCGGCATATCAACTGAAATGTTTTAATGTCAAAATCAAAAAATAGTTTGTATGTAGTTTTTTTTTCTTGAGATAATAAAGATTTTAGTGATACAAGACATGAGTTAATTAGTAGAATTAACTCATAACTGGAGGAGGGGGGTGAAGAGTTGGATTCATACCTTTCCCAAGACTATTTGCGCGTAAGGGAATATAACGAATCTAACTGGAATTGGAAACAACTCTCTGATCAACATTTCCAAGCCATTAACTATTACACGACCTGCACATCTAACCTTACAGCACGTGTTATTTTCAAGAGGTCACTCATCTAGGTACTAACCAGACTCAATGTTGCTTAACGCTGTTGATTGTATGGAAACTTGTGTTTCAACATGATATTGCCGTAATCCACATATTCTATATCCATTTATGTGCAGAAATATATATTTTTCCTTACGTTAATAAGTATAGAAAGTGAAATTAAATTACTAAGTAATATATATATATATATATATATATATATATATATATATATATATATATATATATATATATATATAATGTAAAAAAATATAGTCTTAAGGTGTGCTATATTTATGGAATAAAGTGCTCAATATCAGAGATAGAGCGTATGTAAATATAAAAGTGAACATAGAAGTCAACACTTAGAGGCGACAGTCTGTTTCATGATATATGCAATCGTCGTGGCCTGACGATTGCATATATGAAACATTTTATACTTTTATATATATATATATATATATATATTCAAGTTTCCTTGATGTCCAAGAAAAATTGTTTAAAAAAATTTTAATTGTATTTTTATTAAACATTACCTCTCAAGACGCAAGTGTGAAAGAGTATGAGAAAAAGAAAAGTGTTATTAAGGAGAGAGAAAAATATAAAAAAAAAAAAAGGAATTAAGAAGTCAGGATTGAGATTGCTTTTGAATTTTTAAAGATCAAAATTGTCTGGAAATAAAAAAGAAAAAACAGGCGGAGAGTACCCCAAGCAAGAAGTGCAAGAGACGAAACTGTTAGCATAGAAATTATGGCTGCATCTACCAATTTAAAGACTAAAATCATGAGACTTAACTGCCAATTTATTTTTTAGATTTTAATTTTATTTACTGCTTTTTTAAGAGAATCTGGATATAAATTGTTTAATACCTTCCCAGTCTTTTCGCTTTTCAAAAAGCCATTATCAAATATTTTTTATGCATTGATAGTCGTATGTGTAGGCATAAGCAATATGTTGCTTTGATGGTTTACTAAAAGAAAAAAAATGGATTCTATGATTAAACTTTGCTCACGGCAAAATATCGTTATCATATATATATATATATATATATATATATATATATATATATATATATATATATATATATATATAT